GTGTAGCAAACACATGAGGACAATTTGAGGACTAGGAATCCTATGGATGGATTGTCAAAGCACATACGGGCATGAGCATAAGGATGCGTAAGGATCAGCAAGGATGCAAGGATTACTAATTAGGAAGAGGATTAGGACAACTGCAACTAAAAATACAAGAAAATGTAGAAAATAGCAAACAAAAATTGAGTTTAGTGAGTAATGTGTAAAAAGTTGAAAAAATATAAATGTAAAATTTAAAAATTAATAATAAATACTTAGAATTGAGTTATCACAAAAATTTAAAAGCTATGTTAAAGATAATTTATTTTTGTAAATAATCCGAGATTTTCAAGAAAAATTATGAAATATTTTGAAAGATATTAACGATTTAATAAACTAATTCAAATTAAACTAAATTATTTTTGTTTCAAATTGTCAATTTTAACAATAAATAACTAAAAACTGATAAAGCAAAATTGATTAAAACTCACGTTATTATATAGATAATTTAATTGTTTATACCCACACCAAATTTCATGCATTTCTAATCATACAATTAAAAGTTATTCTTATTTTAACAATTTGTGTCATTTTTGTATTTTGTGATTATTTTTCTTCCATTTCCATTATTTTGGCGTGAGTCACGTGCCAAACATCATTCTACCGTCTGTCTGCCAGCTAATATATTTTTCTTTGACAATTCGAAGATGGATCGACAGAAGTGCCGAGTCGCGCGCTCACGTGCGTCCAAAAAACACCTCTTATTGTTATCATCGAGGGTTGTTTTGCCACACACCCACACCAACCCATACACACACCTTGTGCTTATTAGATAAATCATAATTCATATACTGAACGTTCCCAAAACATAACCTAAAAAATCTAATCCTTTTCTTCCAATATAAACACCAAAAACGAAAAATTTATTTTTTATATTTTTCTACAACACTCTGTATAATAACATGTTCCAATGAATGCGCACGTCCGACATTCGCAGGCATTAAATGTATTACTCGAAATATTATTGTCCAGCGAACACACGGCGTGTTTTTTCCTGTTGTTTGCTGTTTTCTTTTTCTTTCAGCAGGACACAGGAGTGAAAGGAACAATGGGATAAACGAAGAGACGGGAGACACGTCTATAGGGATTCGATTCGACTGCCGGACGACGGACGAAATTTCATTAGCCTCGATGTCATTAATAACAGGAGCTCTCCGGCGGAGAACAGGAGCAGGACGACAATGCATCATGCCATCCATATATCGAGATGATTGGTGACATGTGTCGTGAGCTGTTTGCTTAAAATCGAAGCGAGCCGCCTCGTTAAGTAATATCCATTTGTTTCAGGCATTCTGCTCGGGGGTGGGTTTTTTCATATGTCTCCTGAGATCAGTATTGATTAATTGTGCAGTTGGAGTTGAATATTAAGAGTTATATATGAAATATTTTATTTTAGGTAAAAATATTTATTTTAAATTTGAATAACTTTTAAACTATTGGAGGAAATTAGTTGAAATTTTCAGGAAATGTGTAAAATTTAATTATTTATTTATTAGTATTTGATAATTTGGTTATTTGTTTAAATAATTAATTGTTTAAACACCAAAAATGCAAAAAAACATTTTTTTAAAATTTTGTTAAAATGAAATGCTTTATATATTTGACTATAATTATAACAATTTTTGATAAAAATATATAAAAATTGCGAAGTTAATAAACAATTAAATTATTCATTATTTGGTTAAAAGTTTGTTTAAATAGCTTTTATGGTTTAGTCACAAAATCTTATCAAAGTTGCCATTAAAAAATTTGCAAACCAAAAAACAGTGTTTTACAAAATGTTGAATAACTTTTTTATTTTTAAACAAAATTGAACCAACTATCAACAATTATAAACTATATTAAATTATTTATCACCTCATCTTAATTTGATGAAATTATCTTTATTAGTTTACCCCTGAGAGTGTTTCAAACATTCAACTTAATCTTACAAATTTTCATCGACACATAATCTCCTTTAAATCTCCCTTCCACCCTATATTTTATAAATAAACAATAAACCTATTAAAAGAACGTCACGAACCGCTATAAAAACTAATAAAACATACAACATGCCACCCCCAACCTCCCCAAGTCCGAAGAAAACGGCACACGCAAACTTTATTTTCACCACTGCGAGCGAAATTGATTTATTCCGCGCGTCATCGTCGTGTAATTAATACCGCGATTAAAACAACCCCCGAATAGAAATTATTTTATAAAAAAAAAACAACACAACACCCGCGAATCGATAGCGTACCGGCCCACATTTGCATATCTATCTGGAAAATATATCTATCCGGTCGCTAGTCGCTACACATGTAAGAGTACTTATACCTCTGACATCTGACCCTTTTTTCGCCGTCAGGGAGGGTGGCTCGAGGGTGCAAATAATAATCAATATCGAAATTTCTAATTGCTAAGCAACGTGCGCGATTTAAATACAAATAAATTGGCTCCGCACGTGGAAAATCGAATTCGCTCAAATTCCACCACTCAACAACCCCCTGATCACCCTTATTCAGGGGGTGGTGGCTCGGGGGTGGACTGTTCGTGACTGTTGCCAATGATATCGCTTACGTATACGTTGTTTATGAATACATTCGAGGTTGCAATGTAAAAATCTCCCTCTTGGCACTTTTATCATAAACTACCCTTAAATAAACACTAAAAAAACACAAAATATATATTTTTATTTATCTTAATTTATAGAATTTTTAATTTTTTATTTTTTGTTTTTATTGAGTATTTTATGTGTTTGGAAGCCTAAAGTTCTAATTAAGCACAGTTTGTATGTTTCCAAGGGTGAGTTACGTGTTTCTCTTAATCGAAAGTCGAAGACAAACAACGTCTTGTACAATAGTGGTGTATATTCACTACAAGGGGTAGTTTTGTTTATGTGTGTTCGTTTCGCTTCGTCGAATTGTTTCGACGTTGTGTTCCGGTGTGTTCGGCTGCACTTTGGCGGCGGCGCAATACGTTTAATTACCTGCTTCGTGCAACATAGGGGTAGGTATCAGTAAACTCACCCCCGCATACCGTCGGGTAAAGTTTTAGTCAAGGCGGAACAGATTTATCGACAAAAACTTTCAGAAAAAGAATAAATTTTATTCTTTTTTGTTTTTACAACAAGTTTCGATTTTGATTGGCTGTAACTTTTAAAGTAATTAAGGAAAATTGTTTATTTTTTTACTAGGTTATAAATAATTTATTTGGGTAACACTGTGATTTTTTTCATAATTTTTGTGGTTGAAATATGACAATTATTTAAAAAATTGTAAAATATTTCATTTTTTTTTTTGATTAATTTCAAGAATGAATTTTAATTACCTATAACACAAAAACTAATCAAGATAAAGTAATTATTCTTTGAATTCTGACAGATAATATATTTGGCAATAACTATACCAAATTTAACATAATAATTGTTATATTTGAATGTTTTATCGCTTATTTTGTAAAAAAATACATGTTTAACACTTCTACATTTCAAAGCCCTTCAAGACCAACTTTAATTAACAATTACTCGGAAACTAATTAAGGCAGAATATTTATTTGTTCAAATTCAGATAGATAATCTATCTGGCATTAACTGTACGTAATACCAAATAACAATTTTCATTTCCCAACATTTTATCGCATATTTTGTAACAAAAACACATTTTTACCAATTAACAATTTTCAACCCCTATAAAAGGCAAACCCTTAAAGACTTTTTAAATATTTATGCATTAAAATATAAACAATTTAATTGTTAATAATATCTGAAAATTTCAATACCCTACCTATTAAACTATAAAAGATATGCCCAAATAACTACCAGAAAACATACATGTTTATTTAAGGGACGAAAAATGCCTAATACCAATCCAATTTTCCGCCAAAGCACGCAAAACAAACACATTGCGTCGATAACACTGTTTATCTTAACACTCTAACCCATGTATCGTTTGTAAAGGGGAATCAAACCTCAAACCAACCTCTTGCACCCCTAAACATCTTCACATTACTATTCCTTACCATCAAAGATGCACCAAACACCAAGGACCGGTATTACAAAGATACGGAACAAGATTCACCCCCTTCGAGCCCATTTGGGTGTTGGTGAAAGAGAGACCCCCTGATGGCCCGAGGCGTTACAGTAAATAACATCCCTTTTTACGCCTCTCGCTCTCTTGGCCAGCGCGCAGCGTGTACATCATGCCCGGGCAGCTGATAAATTCACCCCTTTCGTTTTATTAGTTTCGGCGCCTTCCGAGTGAAGACGCCAAAGGAGTGCGCAAAGGGTTTGGCCAGTTGAGCACTGTGCAAGAAGCTGATTTAATGGCGCGAGGCGAAGACAACGATTCGTCAGGATTAAACGTTAATCTGCGTTTATTGAATCTTAGTTTTCGGGGTGCGAAATTTAATAAAGTTGATTAAAGCCACGGAATACTTACTTGCACTGTCAAATTGTCTGTTATAGTGTTATATTTTAGGTTATTATATGGTCAAAATGAGGTTAGGAAATGATTTTTGTATATTTTTGATGTTTTTGTGAATAAAAATTAAAGACAAAACATTTTAACAATATATTCAGGTTCTACAGTAATTATTATGCAGTAGACTATATTGTAGGTTATGTAAAACAACATAACCTAACAGAAAAATTACTTTTTCGTCTTTAATTTCTTTATTTTCAAGTTTTATCCATATTTTAATAGATATTCTGCTATTTTTGATACAAAACATGATGTTTTGACTTTTTTAATCCATAATATTCACTAAAACCAACAAAAAATCATTTTTAATTCAAATTTCAAATAAATATGTATTGTGACACTCGGTATATGTATTCCCCTCTCTGTACTCCCAGCTGACTCCACTCCGTAGCCAACCGGCAACATCGCATAACCTTGCCGTGTGCGCCGCATTTCTCGTTTGTTTACCTTTTCAGTGTCGTGTTAATTGTGTCAGTGAAACAAAATCTTCAGTATAAAATGTCCCACACAGACTTTCTGCAGCTCAGCGAGCACAAGTTCTTCTCACAACTGCGAAGTTCGTTGCCGAAAGCGTCCGCCTCGACGAAAGCCAGCAGCCTGATTGCCGTGTGTGATGACATGCTGTACGCATGGGACGCGCGCGATAACTGCGTACTCGCGTTGAACATTAAAACCGTGCGGCTGCATGAAGGCGAAAATATTCCTCACCAGGTTAGTGGAAATTGTTTCTTTTACCTGTTTATTTCTGTGTGGATAAGTTGTGAAGACGTTTGTTTTGATTTTGAGAGTTTGAAACGTTCGGGTGCGAGGTTACCCGAATCGTGTGCTGTGAGCGAGCCGAAGTGATCGGCAGCTGTTAGTGGGGGAGTGACGATCGCGATGTATATACTGAGTGTTACAAGAATGAAATGAGTCAAATTGTAAAGAAATAAATAAAACTTCAGAAATATAACCTAGAATAATGCAATTTTGGATAATATTATGTAAAATTACAAGACTTATAAGTATTTGTGTATATTTTGTGTGTATTTACAGTTTAAACTGTATATTTTTCTGTATTACAAGTTTGATTTTATGTTTTTTCAGCTATTTGTTTAAATATTTAGTGAACGGATAAACAGATTTTTATTATTTTGATGTCAAATTGTACCTGAATTAATTCTCTTTCTAATGGTATATAATTATGCGTACAAATCATACTGAATTCATACCAAAACATCAAAATAGTTCGCATCTGCAAGGAAAAAACATGTTTTTGTTAATAAATTTGTTAATAATTCTTAAACTAATTTATAAAATTTGATAAAATTTTCAGTAAAACCTCCTCTGTTAAACCCCCTATTAATTAATATATAATACCACCCTAAAATCTCATCCCATCATGATGAAAATTCAAATTTTATACAAAAAATCAAACTTTTATTAACTTTTTTTGAATGTACACCGCGACGCAATAAATTTCGTCATTGTGCACCACCTATTGTTCCACCCCGGACACGACCAGTTTAGGGGATGAGGTTGGCGAGCGTCGTATCGTTGCGAATCGTTTGTCCGAAGTCGATTTGCATACTTTTACAATCCGAGACGCAACGGCGCATCTACCACCTACCCCTAACCTAAAAAACAACCCCCGTTCACCCTCCCACAACCCCATTTCTACATAGACACACACCGGGAATATTTATATTTCGGCAATTGTTCGCTGGCCGTGGTCGTATCGCACAATCGAATCCGGATGCGCTGCGAAAGAATTACAACCCCTAAGAGAAAGCGAAAAAGACTACCATCACCATCACCATCAGGAAACCACCGCCCGGCGGTGGCTGGTGATAATGATAATCGAGACTCAAAAACGCAGGTTCGGCCATCCCTTGTTCGCGGCTATTGCCTTTATTCAGCGCTAAAATGAACTCGAAAGGATGTGAGTTTTTGCGTTTGCAAAAGGGGATGAGGGTGAATGTACCCGTACGCGCGCCTGCATTTATAATTCGGGCATTCGGAATTACTTATCGAGGAAAACAATAGGAATTTTATGATTTTTCCGGTTTTCCGGTACACACACACACCGGCATTACGGATGGGGTGGGTTTAACTTTTGTTGTTTCCCGCCGCGCGCCATCCCTTCCGCTTTTATTAATTTTATTAATTCTTTTCTTCTACTTTTGTTCGTCTCGCGGCGCCATTCGTTGTGTTTTTCAATGTTTTCCCGACCGTGCGTTAATTTCATTATTTTTTTTGATTCGAAGGACGTGTCCTTTTTAGTATTCAATTGTTTTCAATTTTATTTGAATATTCATGCGCGTTCGAAAGTGAGAAATTCTGTTCTGGATTCGTTCTTTTGTTTCGCACGCGTTTTTTTTTTCGGTAGACTTGAAGCAGATTTTTCAAGTTTTGAGGGGTTGTGGGTGTGTTGGGGTGGGTGGAACAATAGGGGATGAATGTATGTATGCAATGTATGCGGAAAATTGCTAGTTTATGATGTTTGCGAGCCGTTTGGCGACGATTTTCCGACGATTTTGCGACGCTTTTCGTCGAATCGCGCTGAATAATTCAAAAATTATGCGCCCCGGCTGCGCAAATTGCACCCCCAACAATACGATCGCAATTGTGTTGTGCAATCGCGATTCAATCGCGCGATAAAGAAAAATTTACCGGAATATATTTTCTTGAAAGGGAATTAGGGGTAGTTTTCCTCAAGGTGGGAATGTTTTTATTTAAATTTTATGACAAAAAAATTTACAAAAGTTTTTTGCCAAAAATTTGCTAAAAATTTAAAAAAATTTGAATTTTTTCAAAAATATTGACAAAATTTCACAATTTTTTCAAAAATTTTGAAATTTGTCCAATTATTTTCCAATTTTTTTGAATTTGTCAAAATATTTCGCCATAAGTTTCGAATTTCTATAAAAATTTGGAAATTTCTTTGAAAATTTAGGAATTTTTACAAAAATTTTGTCAAAATTTTGATTATCTTTCAAAAAATTTGCCGAAATGTTGATATTTCAAGTTTTGCAAGTTTTTAAAGATTTTTTTCTTAAAATGTCAAAATTTTGTAATATTTCCAAATATTTTGCCAAAATTTTTAGAGAAATTCAAAAATTTTGAAATTTCTTCTAAAAATGTCAAAATTTTAGAAATTTTTACAAAAAAATTCGTCAAAATTTCAGCATTTTTTCAAAAATTTTGAAATTTGTCCAATTATTTTCCAATTTTTTTGAATTTGTCTATAAATTTTACAAAAAGTTTTAAAAATCTTTGGTATTTTCCCTAAAATTCGATATTTTACATTCAAAATTTTTTGATACATTTTTTTGGCAAAATTTTAAAGAGAATAGTTCTAAAAATGACTATAATAATAATTTTAAGGATATTTTTTTGTTTGGGGGGTGGTATGCCGCTGGAGGGTTGGTTGAAGCGACATTGTGTTCCGGCAGAACTTCCTCGACATCCTGCACTTCTATACCGGTCCACCATTCATCCACTCTGGTTCTTCGCCCTCGCAGGCCGTGGTCCTTAATTTTGTAATTTATGCCGCCGCCTCCGCCGCCGCCAACGTACTATTATTATTAGCGAACGACACGCTGCGAGGACACGCGCGCAAAGTTTGGTTTTCGAAAATCTGCGCGGCATTGTCCTCGCGTATTTATTACCTTTGAATCCTGCGCAAGGACGAGCGCAGGACGAGCGGAAGCCGGCTTCCCATCTCAAGACGACAACGCCGACACTGCTGGCAATGGCAAAGAAGGAAATTCAATGCATGCGCTCGCCGGCCCGTGGCGAAGGAAACTGCTAAGGATTCAAGGCGAAAATCCAGGATGTGGCGGTCGTAATTTAATAATTTTCACAGCGACTTGCATTGTCCACAAACTATTATATATATTATTCTGCGACAGAAGGATAATAATTATTATTTGCGTGAGTTTGAGTTGATTAATTCTTTAATTTCGTCGTGATCATCGACGACGAGGTCCTTTCGTCCTTAATATATTTAAAGAACACGCGCGCCCGTGTTGGAATGTTAATTTAAAGACTCCAGCAGGCAGCCGGCGGGAGGAAATTGGAACGCGCCCGTGTGCAATTACACCTGCTCGACTAGAGTGTCCTGCCGGGGAGGACTATTCGTCCTTATGCTTCACTTCATCTTGTTCTTATTTCCCATTCCCAGTATCCCCCTGGTGTCTTGGTGTGTGCGATGTGATGTGTTGATGACTGTTGAAGAATTCTTATTTCCTGCTCGCCAGCGGCAAGGACCTTATTACGTTTTGACATTCGACGTTTGGAACATTCGACACTCTCGTTTGTCGAGTGCTGCGCGACGCGCAGTCAGACAAGAGTTTCGTTCGGGTAATGTGCCGTTTGGACGGTTATCATCAGAGGCGAAACGTTTAAGGACGTGTACTACAGGTGTGACGATTACGAGCGAGTAGTCGAAGGAAGTCCTTTTGAAACTATTGCACACTATTGCGCGCCAACGGTCATGAAGGACTTGGAGGACGCGTAAAGTGTCCTTTTGGAATTTCGGCGTTGTTCACGACCCGCCCACGTCCTTTCTTCACCAAACAATAATCGTAGAATACGTAGCGTCTTCAACACCGTAATTGTTCAGTGATGAACACTTGGAATTTGCAAATTTTGAGAGCAGATTATCCTTTACATCACTGAAGAACAATTATTTTATATAATTTAATAAAATTTTATTTTTAAGCATAAAATAAAATAAATTAGAATAAAAATGATTTTTGGGTTGGATTTACACATGATTGTTATTATTATCCTGCCAGTCCTGTGAGAGTCCTGCTCAGAGGTCCTGCGCTATGCGACCACGATGATTATTGTTGCCAAAAGGTGGGCGCGTCTCTCGGCGGTACGCGACCTGGGTCAGAGGCGTCATTGGCGCGCTCGCCAGCTTCGATTTAAGTTTAAAGGACGCGCAAGGACGAGAAAGGACGCGGCGCGATGTCGCGCGGGGAAGGCGGGGCGCGCGCGCGCGAATTAGCGCCGCCCCGACCGGCAGGCTTAATCCTCTCGCCATCCTCTTGCATCCTTTTCCATACAGCCCGAGAAGGACTTTGAAATTTTCGTCCTCGGACTCTGGATGACCATCGACGGACATCGTGGACACATACTTTACACTTCACTTTAGGGCACTTGAAGGTTATCTTCAAGGATGTGCACCACGGGGTCTTGTTTCGGATGATTATTGTTATTGCATGTAATTGTTGCTATCCAAGGACGAATTATTTTTATTTTGTGGTTGTGTTAATGATTTATCAGTTTTTCTGGGTTTTTATTCTCGAAAGAATTCAAAGGACAATGACGGCCATTACTCTTCGATAACAAATCGTCCGTTCCGGGTTAAACATTTATATTCTTCCGGTGCGTGCGCGCATTTTGATTTGTTTTCTCCAGCGCGCGTGATGCAATTGCTTATTCGGTTATTTGTCCTTTTATCTTTGTTATCCTTATCCGATTGCCGAAGGACGGCGGACGGAGGGCTCCATCATTCGCGCCTCGCGAGAATACTCCTTGCGCGCGTTATCCTCGACTCGGTGATTTTCTAAACGACCGGCGAGACCCGTGCCACATACTCGCTATACTTTTCCGGTTTGTGTGTGTTTTTTTTCTTGCGCTGCCGGCGGCGATGTTTGCGGAATGTTTTATCCTTAAGCGCACGAAGGATGGGGGTTTGTCCTTTCCGTAAAGTTTTATTG